GCTAGAATGAAAGTGAAGTTAGCATTGGGGGATTTGAAGGTTACCAAGGCTCTAGTTAAAGATGACACCCAAATTTTGAGGTTTTCTATCACTGCTCACATGCTTTAGAGTCTTGCAAAGCTGGGAAGTAAAACTGCATTTTTACAAAGCTCATTAAAACAAACCAAAACTTGGCAGAGATAATCATTCAGGAAAAAAGTAATATAGATAAGAAATTGGAGATCAGAAAACATCCACTACTTATTTGACAAGAAAGATAAACTCAGACAGTAAGAAATCCCTATAGGGAGTATTTCTCCTTAAAAAACAGTAGGAGGAAGAAAAAGACAAGATCTGAAAAGAGACATCAGTTTCTAGCAGCAGTGGCTAGCTGCAAAATAGAAACAAGTGCTTCCAAAAGACCTTTTCAGTGTCTGAGTATCCTGTAGAAAAAGCACACCTCTGAGTTGCCAACATCATAGCCAGGGAAACACTATACTGAGGTGGACTGTGGCATTAGAAGTGGTGCAAGTGCAGCCCATAGAGGAGGGCTACATGATCTGCTGGCTTGGGCAGTGCCAAGAGCCTCTGCAGGGCGAGGATACCAACCCACCCAGGTTATGGAGGGTGATGCTGACAGGTTACATAGGATGGGGTAACCCATGCTGCTTAGCACAGCCCCATCCTTCAGTGGGACTTCTGGAGAGCCACCAACATTTCCCAGCTCAAGTACAGCTGGAACTCCCCACTCTCTTCAGTTTTTATGACATGTCACATGTATGTGATCATATGAAGATTTTGATACATAGCTCAGAAAGTTTTGTTGGATCTACATTAATAGTTCCTATAGCCTCTCTGGATAAGGTCCAGTCTGCCAACTTGGGTACCTGCAGCAATATGTAGACACAGGGCAGGTCTCTCTACACAGGGATTCCTCCATGCTCCAAAATGTACTTTAACCCCTGCACTCACTAATTAATGGTACCCAGAAAAGAATGCCAGGTTCAGCATAAAGGCTGAGTTAACACAGAGCTATCTCAAAATTAATTCTTCCTACAAGTTACACAAGACTCGAAGTCTAGAAAGGAGGAAAAGGTAATGTGAACATTTTTTCTTGGTTTTAAATATTAAAAAAAGATTGTTAATTCAAGAATTAATGACTTTGCCTAATGTGTGAGAAAAACAACTTCATGTCTGCAGTAACACTGGATCAAAAGGAAACATTCCTAAGTATCTGAACACCAAACCTCCTGTGCATCTTGGGCAGTCCTTTAATACACTTACAGGCAAAAAGATGTATTTACTCAAACTAAAAGGGAAAGCACACAAACAGCTTTAAATAAGCACCTTGACAAAGCAACTGTCAGAATAAAAGGAGTAAAAAATCAGAAGTAATTAACGATCTGCTATGATCCTAAGTTTTAAGCACAAACAAAGCTCATCAGAAAAAAAGTTATATAGTCTTCCAAAAGCTTACAGAAACTGTTTTCAGTGCAAACTCTGACAGATGTTTACATCATGAGTGCTCTGGTGGCAAGTGAGAGATACCTACCAGCCATATCATGACAAGTGACATAAAAGAACTAGCACGGCAGAAGTTGATGGTACTTGGCATATGGGATGTATTCTGATGTCAGCTAAATTTATGCCATATGCTACAAAGCATAGTGTAGTGTCTGCCTGTTTTGGAACACAACTAACTTGCTGACACTAAATGGAAAGTTCACCACAGGATTTACATCATCTTTGACCTAATTGTGACAGTGTAGGACAGAACTACTCAAGCTGCTCCTTAGGACTCCAGATTTTTGAGGTGATGCGTGTATTTATTGTCCAAACACATTACTCCATATTAGGAAAATTATCACTGTAACCATTTCAGGTACTGACAGAAGTAACACCCCATTCTACATTCTGTTAGAAAAAAAGCAGGTCTACATTAATTAAAAACAAAAACCAGGGAGAGGCAGGGCCCCAAAGCAGGCAGAGTAACTGGATGAATGTTGCCCACACATGTCCGACATGCAGATGTTTTAAAATGTCTCCACCCACATCCAGATGGGCACAGCAGGAATATATTATATGAAAAAATGTTGGGAGTTCTGCAGAGACTAGAAAAAATATCATAAGTGTGAAAATCCTCCCAGCAGTGACATTTTGACCTGTCCCCATTTAACACAACAGCCCCAGCTTTGGTAACAGAAGCACAGCAGTAGCAGACTAATACATAATCAAATGGTTTGGCTGAGTTAAGCCTTAAGCAACCCCAAGGTGTCTTATTAACCTTACCAATAAACTTTTCCCTCTTCAACTGCCTTTAGATTTTATACCCCCTGAAGCCTCAAACCTCCTATCCAAAAAGCAGCTCTGTCATCTCATGATTTTCTTTGATGGAGTGCTATTTAGTTCGATTTCCTTTCTTAAGAGAAGTGCAGAGAGTCAGAACAAACCCTGTCCTGTTGTGGACAACAGAAACTCTCTGTACTTGTAAATTCATATGCTGCCAAGGAGAGAGTCTTAACAAGAATCCAAAAGGCATCCTACCTGATCAAGAAGAAGAAAGCAGACAAAAGTGAAACCATGTTGGGTAGGAGGGTCATGGGGGGGTAGGAGGGGAAACTGAGATCTTTTAAAACCTGTCAACTTTGAGACAATAAATGAGTAAAACCAGCACCAGTTGGAAAGGGACTCAAGCAAAGCAGTCTCCTTATACTAACTTTTTGGTGCTCCTAGGCATAAAAGCGAAGATATCCACATCAGCAGTACGACATGTTTATTTAGATGAGTTAACTGTAGAAACACTTGCCAAGTTATTTGCAGGCTGTGCCAAGTATATGTCAGAACCCAACAGACTGATCTTACAGCAACAGTTGTAGAGAATCTCAATTTTGCTGTCCCCCTCTTAACAGCAGTTGACTAAATAACCATATTTTCCCAAGGAAGATTAAGTGTCAATTTGTTTTCTTTTGCTGCTTAAACAGGAGTAGCAACAAAAGCTCAGTGTTGGTTTCTGAGGAAGACCCCACCTCTCACTGTCCCTTTCACAAAAAACCAACCTTTCCACTCTGTCCCCAAAACAGTCCACAAGGAGAAAAAGGTAATTCCATTCCTGTAATTTCAATTTATTGAATTGAAATTCAAATTTTTACCTCAATAAAATTATCCAACACTTAGCAAATATGTATATTAGAAAGGAGAAACTTTCCATTTGTGCAAAAATACTTCAGCAAATACCAGTGACTTAAAGATAACTTAACCTCATAACCTAACTGCTTATGAGGTTAAGTTATAAATGAATTAAATTGCTTAAGTCACAACACAGGACACATACTAAACATGTTCGGTTTTGGTTTTCCCTTTTTTTTTATTCCCCAAAGCTCTTCTCACACTGAAAAATATTTTTGTGGAATTAAAAGTAGTAATGAAAAAAAGAAAAAAATGGAAGAGATGGAGAAAAGAAATTTATCCTCATTAACAGTGTGATAGAGCTCCAGTGCCTACTTCTGGAATGATTAATTTCTTCTGCTACTACTAGGTTTATTCTAAGAACAGATTATTTAAATTTCCAAGCATTTGATACCAGATATACACATAAATACTACAAAATATTAACAAGAGTCATTGAAGACAACCCTTTTAAATACACCTTTCAACTGCTCTTCAGAGAATTGGATCCACTCTAGGCAAAGTGAATTTTATGCCATGCATGAAAGATGGTAAATGTTTGAAGCCATTGTGGGAGACACTGGAAACCCCACAAGACTCTGAGCAAGAGTCTCACAAGCCTTTGAAAAACCCAGATCTCCATTAGATACAGCATGACACTGTGGGCTGCAGTGTCACAAACAGCAGAGGCTGCTGTAAGTGCGTCACCTAGAAAAGGCTTTTTGACCATTCTCTGGGGTGAAAGCTTGTATTAGAAGAGGAGACATCACTAAGAATATTGAAAAAAAAAAATTATTTGGCAAGTATTTCCAGAGTTCATAGATGTATATCCTATTTTAAATGCACAGGGTAATGAACACTGTTGGATACTATTGTGAAGAGACAAATGCAGTCTCTTGAAAGGGAAAACTGGAAGGAATTGTTCTATTTCAGAGGCAGCAGATGCATTGTGTGTTGGCACGACTGGCATTGGAACTGTGGTACACATAGACATCATATAAAACCCACAGTAAAGTCCAGATCATATATTAATGTTGCTGTAATCCATGCACCTGTCTTATGCTAAAGGTGTCAAATTTTCCCCTATAATGGAGCTGTTTTGCTCACTGGGACATATCCTGCATTTTTGAGTTGCACACATTTTAAGCATTTAACAGAGCAACCACCGCTTGCAGAGAAAGAAAACTAATTGCAATCACACATGCATTCCACATAAAATTGTTCTATTCATAAAATTTAGGATTGCAGTATTGCTTCCCTCAAATATTGTAACTCTCAATTTTTATACCAACTACGTAAAATTGATAGCATAACTCAAATAATAACAACAACAACTACAACAATATAACTAGAAATGTAGATTCCAAGTAAAAAGATACTAACAATCAATTCATTCAATCACAACATATACTCATTCACCCATTCAACAAGACAGACACATACTCTCACACCTGCCACTCTGGGCTGGGTCCCATAAAACATCAGGTTTTCTCTTTAACAGTATTCATAAGATACAAGACTCGGAGAAAGTGGAAGGCTATGTAATTTCATCACACCCTGACATATGTACTAAAGGTTGGACAGCTATAACTATCGTAACTAGTTATATTAATTTTAACATATAAACAGAAGAGTGAGTATTATTGACCTTTTATACATAAAAATATAAATGGCTAAGGCAATCGGGAACTTCTGTGTGCAAGAAAAGGTAAGTTATCTACAACCCATTTGGCAGTATTTGCAGATAGATCTAAAGTAAACTGATATATAAAGATGAAAAATAACCAGAAGGCACCGACTCATGAGCGAAGTGCCTCGTAACAAAGGTCACATTTAGATTTACACCATAAACATACCTGGCATATTCCACTGATGCACATATCCAAAGATTCAATATTGCAACGAGTACCATCTAGTACTTTTGGGGCAAGCTCCACAATCAAGTTCTTTCCCAGAGCTTGACATTTCAGGGCACACGGTGCAGTAGGATCATTATACACAGGGATCCACTCATAAAAATGCCCCTGGTATTTGACATCATTGTAGGCTGAACACTGCTGTGCTCTAAAGTCACCAACATCTGAAGGGCAGTCCTAAAAACAAACCAAAGGAAATGTTAGTTTTAGGAAAGGAATACTTTACGTTTGCAGTGAAGTTATCTGATGAATTACACAGAATCTCTTCAGGGAGGCTTGGTTCAAGAACTGATCTGCTATGACAAATATGCCATATTGTAAAGTTTTAAAGTGTGTATTAAAACAATTTATGGTGCTTAATCCATTGCTTTCAGCACAAGTAACAGAATATCACGCGTATTCCAGTAACAACATAACTGATACGAAAGGATAATTAAAAATGCTACTTTTTATGACACTATGTAGTATATTTAAAGTCTGGTTCTGTAATAAGAATTAGCTTCTAAAGGAATCTATATATTTTAAGTGACTATAATGAGATGTCTGACATTTAATATTTCTCTTTCCAATAGCTCTTTCCACTAAAGGATTTCTGACAGCTCTACACTCATTCATCAATGCATATGTCAGAGTAATGAAAGAGGTATTATTGCTATTTATACATAAAGATAAATTTATCTAATTAATTGTTCAGTATTGCTCAAACAGGGGACGAGAGCATTAGGAGGAGACAGCAGAACTTTCAGTGCTTAGTCCTTTAGTCTTAGCCTAACAAAATTTCTTCACCTCATAGAAGCAGTAAGGCTTACTTTGTTGAAATAAAATATACTTCTAATTGGTAACTACTGATTATATAGTTCCAGTTCTAATGAGACAGTTCTGTACCTCCTCCCTTACACAGCCTCAGCTGAAAGACCAAATATAAGAACTGTTTGAAATAAAATATTCTAAAATATTTTTTCTAGATAAAGCATTGCACCCAATGTTGTTAATATTAAACTACAGTGACATGAATGGAGATGGATACTGATTTATTCAAAAATAACTTTGGTAAAGTACTGGCAAAGGAGTTAGTGTGTCAGCTTCTCACTAAAGACTTCATTTGAAAGTGTGTCCAGTGTCAAACAGCCCATATGGCAGACAAAGGATACTCTTCCAAGAATTCCAACTGCATATAAGCCAGATGTGAGGCTGATTTTAACAAATTTGTTTTCATTGGATGGAAGGCAGAAACATTGTGATCTGTCAGCTGAACTCATGGAACTTATTACTAAGTATTAGTTAACAATACTAATCCTGAACACAGCTTCGGCCTTATCAGTGAACTGAACCTTCCCTGAAAAAAAGCTAACGGAATAGTAAGTGCATTACACAGTACTGGAGATACAAATACACATGAGCAAGGTTCATATTCCAGTCCAATGACCTCAACAATGTTGTCCTGACACCATCTTGCTCATATGAACCTGGATGAGTTGGCACTGCATTAGCTTAACTAGCTTTGTCAACGCCTTAGCTTTTTTTCACCATAGGAAACAGTAACCTAGAAATGTCTCTGGTTTATTTGTAGTCTGCATAAAATATCTTCTAATATTAGTATTCTCTCTACTGATCAACACCTGGGATTCTGCAGCTGAGAACCAAGCAATTCACTGAGCATTTCCAGCAACATTTTTCAACTCCGTCCAGCGCTGCACCTTACAGTGAGAATAACTCAGAATGATGCCAACACATTTTGTATTATTTTTAACCTGGGATAATTCTAGGTTGAGCCATATTTTTTTAAAACTAAAATGATGGAATAAGACAAGAGGAAATTATAGTTCCTGTAATCCTCTGAGAGTTTTACCTCCGCAAAATCCCACAAGTGAGAGCTTCTAAAAACATGAAGCAAACACTGTCAGAAACCACCCTTATTTACTGCAGTGTCACTCCCAAGAAGTTCACCAAGGTTGCACTGGTGTAAATGAGAGCAGAATTTGGTTCAAACTTATCTGTCACCTCTCATTTTCCACAATAGCGAGTCTAAAAAGCAAAGAGGACTTCAAAGTTCATATGGATACCATATGGTTCCCTTCCACTGTTGCAAACAGAGTAGCAGCTAAGGATAAATACAGTGGAAGTTAGAGTCAGGTAAAGTTAGAAGCAGTATGTCAAAGTAGTGTTATCTAGCCATGCACAGCTACATTTTCATCACAAAGAATTAAAGAGCTATCTGTAAAATAGGCAGAGTGATGGCCTTAGGCAGAGTTTTGACAAGCTGTTGTTACAATTCATTATCACTCAGTGTTGATGCAATGCCAAGACACAAACACCACAATGTCAGGATGTCAGTCTGTGGTTACTGTATGTTTCTCATTGATTCAACACAATGCAGCTCCTTCCTTCCACTCGCTTCCTGGCTGCTTGAGAGTGAGTGAATTCTCATCTCCAGGCTCTGTGTTGGTATCTTTAAACAACACAAAGTGATCCAGGCAGCTCGATTCATATGCCAGCTCCACCTGCTTCGTATTTGAGCTGCGTTCAAAAGCAGGAGCATAAAAGGAGCATCACAAAGCGATATCACAGAGAAGAAATTATCATTTGCATTATATCAGAACTTGGATGGCAACCAAGTTCAGATCCCTGTTTTCTTGGGAACAATAAATATTTGCATAAAGGAAGGAGTTTATAATCTAAACTAAGACAAATAAACAAAGGAATGTAATCAAGACAAGAACTCATAAACTTCAAGTTAATCCATCACAGTGGGTCAGAAAAATGAGAGGGAGTTTAAGAAATAGAAAGGAAAAGAGGCGGGGATGGTCTGAGAGAGCTGGGCAAGGGTGAAACATGTTTGGGAAGTGGGCGAGGCCACACTGTCAGACAATGACACATAGGCTCCAATCCTCATCTCCTCATCCTGTTTGCATGTCTTTTTGGTTTTAACCTATTTCAGACATCAATTCATTTCATCATTCCCTCTTCCCTCTCAATATTCCACTTTTTTTTTTTTTCTTGATTGTTGAATATTTTTGAGACTAATTCCAGGATTTTTGACTTCCTAATTTCAGCAACAGCTTTTGTCTTACGTTCAATCCACTGAACTATAGCCAGGCTGTTCAAATGTGCATACGCTGCATAAGGAGCTGAGGACATATCTATGAGGTTTAATACATGAAAATGTTGGCAAAATAATCACACCTAGATCTTGTAGGAGAATGAAGTGTATTTATGACATGACTTATGAACATATTATTAGATCTGAAAAAATGCTTCAGACATGACTACCATGCAAGCTAAAAATACTTATATGTATGTACATATATATATATATATTCCCATTCTTTTTGTGACAGATTAAAAGCTACTGCATTCAAGGGCTGGCTTCTTATGAAATGTATCATTTGAGTTTTGGCAGCGAGCACGCTTAGCCTTTGAAAACAAAGGTAACCTGGGAAATCTGTATCTTTGTAGGCAATGTTCATGTACAAAATATGAAGGTTGCATCAGACCTTGTGATTACTGCCAACAATTACTCCACTGAAAAAAGCACAAAAGAGAAGGCAAGAAAATTCCCAGTAAAAATGATGACACCAAAGAAAGTCTAGCCCTTTGTCTAGTTTTATTCTTTGAATCTCATTTTGTTGAAACCTAGCCAAAAGCGATGAAGTCATTGTTTTGTTTTCTTTTCGAAATTAGCTTCAGGCTCTCTGTTTTCCTAAGCAATTTTCAGGCCACTTCTTAGTAAAATCAAGATACCTGAGCTCGAAACCACCCCTGCCACGAGAGCTGTACGGTGCGTCAGCATCATCAAAACAAAACAAACAAACAAGCAGATTAGAGAGAAACTGTGCAACTGAAGGTGAAATATTATGGGACTAAAGTAGACACAGTTCAGCCAAGATTTTCTGAATAGGATAAATGAGCTGTTTAAGAAGTAGATGATGGAACAATAATCTGATGAATATGTTGAACAAGTGTGAGCATCATCTGCCTATAATAAAAGTTTATAATGGAATTAAACATGGGGAAATCTGTTACAAAATAGTGTTTTTTTCTTACTATAGAAGAGTCACTCTGGCAAATGTGTAAGTGACTTTTTGGCACACAAGAATGTGAAATTTATGGGGAAATGGCCCAAATAACTTGTTTCTATGAATAGGACCCTAAAGGATTATCTTAAACACTTCCATATAGTGCACATCATAGCATTAGAATGTAACAGTATATACAAAAATGGAAATTCAAAAAAAGGAGGGCTAAGAAAGACTGAAAATCTCTTTGAACAGCATATAATGAACAATTTATATAGTTTATTTCTCTAAAGTTTCTATAAGAAAAGCTGAGAGCTACATGCAGCTTTAGGAAATCTGTACCTGGCATCTTATTTATGATAGAAATATAAGCAGAATATACATATGCCTTAATCTCAGTACTTATTTTGTTCCTAAGACTTTGAATTAATTTCTTGATTGAAATATCACTAATATTATCCTGGAACTACGCTTGAGTTCAATGAACTTACTACTATTCTATTACAAATCCAGATGAAACCAATTTTCTGGTAAAATGACTCTTGTTCTTTTCATTAGAATGACACACATATTAAGTTGGGCTTCATTTGTACTCCCCAATATAGATGTTAGTGGTGTAATGTATCATGTAGCAAAATTACATTTGCAGACAGCTTTACATAGTGTATATATACTGGATGTCTCATGTGGTTAACAATAATGCCTACTAATGTGGAAAGAAGCTAGTATCGCCTCTTAATTTTCAAACTAAAATTTTATTCATGAAGTTAGAAGCATTCATTAGAAATAATGCTTTGGGGAAAATTATATCATTTGAAACAAAACTGTAGTAGTCCCAGGTTTACATTTGATGTAAGCTCGTGTGTCAAGGTTAAGTCAGGTCTAATACTGGGCTTGAATTCAGTGATGCCAAATTCAAAGATCGACTGTAGCAACAGTAGAATCTCATGAATATATTTTTTTCAGGAGTTCTCCATTATCTGATCCATAATCTAAGAAAAACCATTCAGAGAGATTCCGGCTGTATCTGAACTGAAATGGAAACCTGATCGCTTTCAGACATGCCCCAAAACCAGAACTGTAAAGGCAGCTTCCTGTCTGGAAATTAACATTTGAATCATCATAAATTCTAACAGACTCACATACAAGATGCTTGCCACTTATCGCTTTAAAATAAGTCCTAAAGTTAAAAACCAGGCCCCAGTGACTTCAGAAAAACTCCCTGGGAGTTCAGAAAGGATATGGTAATCATCTTAATTCTCTCTGTGCTGAAGCATAATGTGCCTTCATTTCCATCAGATTTTTACTACATAATCCTTAAAATGAACAGCATCCACAATTGCTCTTACGTATCCTAAAAGCATGTAGACTTTTGCTTACAGCAGAAAATATGCCCCAATTGATTTCATCTTTCTCCTTTTCTTTAGACTGTGTAGCCTTTTGCTGGAGGAATGAGGTATACTACTCTGACTTGTGTGTACTGTTCACAGGAAGCTGTAGTGCACAGGATCAAGCAATCAAAGGTATATTACTGTACACAATATACACAACTGGATATGTAGATAAGGAATGTACCAAATACATTTTACAGTGGCAGTTTGTTTATTGCACACATACTGGCTGGCTGCAATTTAGCTTATCACACAGCTTTAAAAGACTATGGAGGTTTTTTTGTATGTGCCATTTTGATTTATGAGCTAAGGACACTGCACACAAAGATGCTAGGCCTTTTCTTCTGAAAGGGCAAGTGACAGGGTTTGTCTTCAGAATCTGATTTTTGCATGTATTGGGCCTGATTCGTTAATCACTTCCACTAGCCTCTGCCAGTAGAAACTCAGGCAGGGAGCTGCTGTGCTGGAAAATCCACACAGCACTGAGGAGTGGAGTATTAGAGCAATTCAAGGTGCTAGCAAGCCTTGTTCTCGAGGAGGGCAAAAGTCAACTGACACACAAGAAACTGTAGGTGTGGCAAACTGAAGAGTGGGAATGGCCAATTCTCCCAGGGTATACACCAGTACAACGTATTTACTGGGAAACTTCCAGTATCAGGCCTCTTAAGAATGTCCTCCTTCACAGCTACATGCTGCTGGCAGATAAAACAAGGTTGGCAATGCCATGAGTATCACCTGTTCTTGCCTGAGTATAATTCAACCCAAGGGAACTTGCAGCCCTCACCTTTTAGGGGTATTTGCGTGAAAATTGCTACCTTGCTCCCAGACCCAGAAGCAGATCAATCAAATGCACTAGAACTAAAGACAGACACTTTCGATTTAATTACTTATGTACCTGCCCTCTTTTCTGGAATGAGATTATATGAATGTCACATTGTGCTGTAAGGTAACCCATGCAAGGGGGTGACTGCTGACAATAAACCACCCTGAATTACTGTGGTTATACAAAAGGTCAGTGGATCAGTAGTATTGCAAAGTCCTGCATGAGCTGTACACCCTGAACAAACTGCATCTGGAGTGAAAGGCAGCAGCCATTTACACACATTTAAGCACAAAACATCACTACAAATCAGTTGAGGATAAGTCATGAAGTATGGAGTATGTGACTGGTTTTCACACAATGCATCTGTATAAATGTGATTGCATCACAGCAACAGCATCTGTGTAATCACAGCTCCAGCTTTACGTTCAGTCACAGAAGTCATCAATGCCAGCGTACCTCAATATACATGCTTTTACATTTAGACATATAAAGATCTAGGCTTAAAGAAGCAGAGGGAATATAAGGAGTAATTATACAATTTAAGATAAGAAAGGAACACAGGCAGTTAACCTCTTTGCTCATGTGAAGAGTACCACTGTATCATTAATGACCACAAATGATCAGGATGCTCAGTTTAATGCTTCATCTGAAAGACAGCACCCCAGGAAAAGCACTTGCTAATTTATGATGAGAACTGATTTGTTAATCCACCAAAATGTGTAACTTTCCTAATAAAAGATATAAAACATTCTGAATCACAATTGGCCTCATAATTTCAAAAGAAAACGTCCATTTGGGAAGCCTAAATTTCAGACCTTCTGGTGTCAGGCAGACTGAAAACCTTAAAAATTGTATTAATGATGGAAAGTAAATTATGCACCATGAGGTTTTAAACAAGCAGCAGCATTTCTTGAACTTTAACACATTGCTTGAAAAAGTAAAATAGGATTAAAGACCAGACTCACATTACTACTGCAGGTTTTGTATCGAATATTTCGACCTTCACAGTTCCTGAAAAACAGAGTAAAATGGTTACACTGAATAATGGCAAAACACAACCATGCCTGTTTTACAGCTAGTTACTTGCTTGAAAATTAGACTTTTATTGCTACTGCCCTACCATAATTTGGACTCGAAATGCAAGGTTTAAATACAAAGGGGATCTGGGGATTCAACAGGTTACACTGCTGTCTCTCTTTAGCAAAGAATGTGTGGCTTTCCCTGTAAGCCTAATTTACTGCAAACCTTATGAAAAACACATTTATTTTATGAAAAAGATTTCACAAGACATCCCTAAGCCTGGTCTATGCTGACTGCAGCAAAGCTGCTTCTAACCCACAAGATGCAACCCAGAAGAAAAGAGGATCAGAGTATCTAAGCAATCCTTTAATCAAGCATCAGACTAATGAGCATTAACTTTCCCTTCTCCTATTTTGTTTAGGAAAGAATGAACAGCCTAAAACCTTTCCTTTCTTCCAAAACCCAATGCAGCTTTTGAAGAACAGCATGTACTTTTACTGCCACAGGAGCAGATTTCATGATTTTAAATGAAATTCAATTCTCATGCATTTCTGAAGTGCCCAATGCATGTGAATGCCGAAATCCAGGCAATGCAGCTCCTCAGCAGTCTGTTGTTAGTAGCTGAGATGACAGACATATAATAAAGTAATGATTATTTATTATTGTGGTCTCATAACTATGGGGGGTGGGGGTAGAGGGTGTGTTTCACACTTTTGGTTTTTTAGGGACAAAGTTTGCCAAACTTCTCAATAACTGACCGGCACTTTGCACAGGGTAAGATACTCCTCCTCTTAAAAATGGTAAAATCAAGCCCTTGAAAGAATTTAAAACATTTCAAATTATTTGACACGTAATTATAATTAGTGATATCTCCAAAATCAGTAATCGTTTTTTGGGATAATACCTTATACCAAAAAGACCCACCTTACACTAAAGAAGGCATGAATGTATGGCTGGTAATTTAAAGCCGTTGTTGAACTTTCCACTTTTTGCAGGCAAAATATTAAGAAAATTCTTTAATATGTGTGACGGATTGAAAACTACCATTTGAAAAGGAAAAGGCAATGGATGCCTGGAGCAAGAGTTCACCCAGCTCAGCTGAAGGTACAACTCTGCAAGCTTAAGGTATTACATGTCTCAAATTTCCAATCTTTTGCAAGATAGATTGCATCAGAACATGCAAGTTAAAAATGTTTATGATACACACAAATGTGAAAACTTTGTTTCACAATTGCACATTTCCTGGACATTACAACAACAATAAGACACAGGAAAAAAAAACCCTTGAAAGTACACATTTGTCAAGGTATGGAAAACACATGTTTTTCACAGGGGAACACATTAAAAATATTAATAAAACCACAGAGGAATTTATATTGCTACAATTTATTGAGCTCGTTTCAGAGTTCCTAACACTCTGGTAGAATATCACGGCTTCTTGCTGGAGCTATTGCTTTCCTCAAAGACTTTTGTGCATTTTGCACTAAAAGAAACAGGCAGTGTTTTAATCAATCATCTTTGGCTACGTATTTCACACAGTTTTCACTTCACTAGTGTGTCACACTACAAGCCTTCTTTAAGAAAAATTGAATTCCTGAGTGATTCTTCATTCAACTTTAAAAATCTCAACAAAAGAGAAATATAAGCATAAGCAGCAGTTTCAAAAATCTCAAGAATAATTCAAGCAAAGCAGGCAATCACATATGCCAGCACAGATACTTCTAAGCTGGTTGGGATCTCTTCTCACCTGACTACAGGTCTATTGCATTACACCTACTTTTAGGACTGCAGCAACAAATCCTATGTTAGTCTAGCTTTACTACTGAGGTAAACTGTCTTCACCACACATGGTGTTCTCTTCAAGTTACACTAAGGCTTATCCATGAAAACGTATGGCCATCAGGACCACTGCTCAGGAAGAGATGGCAGACAAAAAGTTTCCTAACAGAAAGCAGCATGTGTACATCTATATGTAGAGTCACTTGTTTTTCATTACAGGGAAGACATGGAGGAGCCTGCACAACGCTATGCAGGTAACTCACCATCCACTTTATATTACAGTGACAGGGACTTCTCTCAATATTTGACCACACTAAATCATTCTCATTATTTCACAAACATATTTAATAACATGCTAAAGTTCTATCGGAGTTGAAGGCTAAGATATTTATCTAACATATTACAAAAGTATATTAAAAGCAGTATTTCATAACACTTGATCTGTACACAGCCCTTCCTTCCAGAAACAAAGGCAATAATGCTTCTCTACAAACACCAGCAAAGGACAGGGAAATACATCAGAGCTGCAGAAGACTAAATACACATAAGTCTGTGGCTCACCTGCCATTTAAACACCTCCTCAGTGAGTAGGAAGCTCCCCCCCCACATGTCCGTGAGCAATCACTCCAGGCCCCCCAAGCATCCCAGGAGCCATCCTTATCTTCATCTGAGCGGGTAATTCTAGAGGTCTAAAAAAATGGAAGATAGGAGAAAAAAAAACAAACCACAAATTAATTTATTTGGTACATGATTTACTGCCTGCCATTATTAATACTACGTACATTACTTTGCTGCTTATTTAAAGTATTTTGAATTTACTTACTATTTTAGTACATAACAATTACATGGGAAAGGAAGCATTGCCTTCAGCCAAGGGACTGCTATGTCCATATACGCTGTCATCCCCAATATGCTGTGTAGGAACCACACAGTAGATCTTGAGCAGCCTGACCAGGCATCATGTTCTGGGCAGGTGCTGGGCTTCCTGAGACCCTGACCAAAGCAGTTTCATACCCAGAACTAATAAGACAACTAAAGTCTCTTTTTATCTCAAGTGTGCCTGCACTCAGGCAGTAGTACAGAAATTAAGCACATCAAACCTTTCAGAGTGCACACCCAGAACTGCAGTCAGGGAAGCAACCCAAGAATACAACTTCACTACAAAATGCGCTATTACTTTGAAAGAGATCGGAGAAAAGATTAAAGATCACTTAAAGAGTCATTTTTAGGCTAGAACAATTATACACTGATTTAAGCTTAAACTCATTTACACAGGCTTCAAAAGCATTATTACCAGACATCATAAATGTTAAAATGAAAGACTTGCGACAAAGGCCATAATTCTTCTTGACCCTTTAAAAATGTCATTTTTCGCTTGCATTGTATCCTATTCATTTCCCATAGAAAACTCCCAGAGCATTTTAGAAAATGGTTGCTTAAATACAATAGTTCAATATTAAAAAGTAATACGAATCAAAGTATTCAGTCATGTCCTTCTTTAAGAGAGTATTTTTTGGTTTCTGATTTTCTTCATGAAGAAAGCATAGGGTAATTCAATTCAGTGTTTCCCCAAGCATTTCTTCGACTTTGCTACAATTGTTCAGCAGCTGTTCCATTTACATCCTACTTTCATTCCTCTGTCTCTGCAACCTCTAAAATTTCTCTTTTGAAAAGAACATCATGCATGCATTTCCATAACAAAACTTCAAAGAATGATTCCCTGAAAGTCATCAGACGTATGATGGGCCAGTTACAAAGAAGTTAAGATGTTTTAGAACCTTATGTTACACCCAGATCGAGAGGAAAACACAGATTTCTCTAATCACCACGGTGATAGAGTCTGCACATAAAACCACCTCAAACATAATGTAGTGGCTATTATCATCATTATGAATGAAAGTCATACTGTGGATAAAAATGAGGCAGTGAGTCATATCTCAGTGACAGAGAATATTGACTGATACTTACTCTGCCCCGATACAATTGCAAATGACAGAACATTAAGAGCTTATCCAAGCTTTAATTAAAGACTATTTACAGCTATTTTTTTTATTCCCATTGACTTAAGCGGGCACCTGAGCAGACCTCCCATAAACAAAAGCAGTACATTCATGTTACCGTCTTATTTCTGACAGCACAGGAAGGCACAACTTAAGTAGTGTTTCACAATCTTTACCTCAGAAAACAAGCACACTGGAACACTGAAGGGCTACCTGTCAGCAATCATCAGGCAAAGAGGTATAAACATTACAAAATAAACTGTATCTAAGTTAACATTAAAGTCTACATAAGTGCCAAAAAAAAAAAAGTTTAAAATGCTAAAAAGATTTTCATGTGTGACTAGATCCAGATTATTCAAGAGATTAGTATTTGTCCTAATACTAAACCAGATGAACACACTTTAATCCATATTTTATTTAAGAAATAAGCTCATAAGAAGAAGATTCAGTCCTATGCTCTTCCAAAATGCCTCACGAAAGTGATTTAAAAGTGAAGGATGTGTAATTCAAATCATATAGTATAAGGGGAGACTGGCCCATTTCAATAAATGAGGTTAGGATGCATTCACACCACAGTTGCACATATAATTATTGAACAAGAAACCCAAATGGTAAATAGTTAAACTTAGCTACACTTAAGCAGAACCAAGGACTACTTAAAGACATTTTAAAGGCGTTAATAAGAGTAGGCAGATCTAGTATTGTAGCACTACTCCCTATAGTTAAGCAGCTAACAAACATCAGCAATTTCCAGTTTTCCATCCCTTCCTCAGAAAACTTGAGCTTGTAAAAAAGAACCTTTGTTAGCTATCTCCATTTGAACACTGAACTGCAGAAGTTGCTCTAAACACATCAGTGGCTTCTTAACTTGCTCCCTTAACTTTACCAATTTTACAAACATTTACTGTAAAGCTTTTAAAGTGTACTTAGGGCGATCTACCATTCCAGGAACGATAGAGCCCTACTCTGCCAAGATCCCTGAGGAATTTTCACTCTGGCATTGGGTTTACTTTACATCAGAAGCCAACTCTGCAATGTCTGACACTGAATATGGAACCAACTGCCTTCAATCTTGAACAGAAAGAGCTCAGCACTTCCCAACAAATCACTCAGCACGTGAAAATAAGTCAAGATGAACAAAAAGTCACTTCTTTCAAATTTATGAGTGCAAAATTAAAGTTTGTCCTCTGCAATCCCAAGGCAAATGATTGGGTTTTAGTATGTTGAGAAATGCTTAAACTTACGATATTTAAAAAAGCAATGCATGCCACGCTCTTTTTTTAAACTAGCTAATTTCTTTTGACAAAGCAATGACAATGCCGAAAATAATCCTAACTTCATCATTGTATTAAAACCAGCCACATGATATTAACAGACAGAATGTCATCTAAAGCCCTAAACAATGTCCAGTTGTTCACTTCCCAAATTGCTTTGATAAAAGCCATTGTTCTGAACTGTATCTAATTAAAAAGCTGTAAATACTAGGATGATCAAAGCAGAAGTTTATGCCAGCAAAGCCTTCTTCAGAATAACTGACTAATTCGGTGCCCACAGTGTTGATTTAAACTCCAGCTAGTTCAAACTGTTTGTCCCATGGGAAAG